GTGCAATATTTGGCACGTCCGTGCAGGCCTTGGCAGAAAGATGGCTTCAGGTCTGCACTCCTGCACGGACGTGCAACATCTTGCACGGCCGTGCAGGGTCTTCTGGGCCCTTTTCTTCGTGTTTTCTTCTACGATGCTCTTGTACTTGGATTCTTTCCATCATTTCCTTGCTTCTAACCTCGGTTTGGTAACCATGGGCTTCATTTGGTCGTCTTTGGACCTAAAATCTCAACAAAAACACTAACAACCCGTGAAGCATAGGATACACAAAAATTGCATAATAATAGGGTAAAAGTGAACCAAAACACAAATTTGTTCAGGTAAACTAGGTTCAAATACGCCCTAAAACCGCATAAAATAGCAAGTTATCACCAACACTTTGAATTGAAACCACAGTTCATTAATTCATCTCTAATGATTCATTTGCAGGCACACCACATGATTGTTGGGTAAGTCATATTGATAGTTTTCTGGAGAAATGTGATACAATGAAAATGAATGGTGTTACAGATGATGCTATTAGACTACGCCTTTTCCCTTTCTCATTAAGGGATAGGGCAAAGGAGTGGTTGAGAGATGAAGGCACTGGCTCGTTTGATACATGGGACAAGCAAGTGAAAGCCTTCTTAGTAAAGTTTCTAGGACAGGAGAAGACTGCTAGGTTGAGAAACGAATTATCCACCTTCAAGCAGTCAGATGATGAGTCCCTATACGATGCGTGGAGGAGATTCAAGCGATTGCAGAGGCAATGCCCCACCATGGTATTCCTGAATGGATGTTAATCCAAACCTTCTGCAATGGTCTAACTCACGAGTTCCGTATCTACATTGATGCTGCGTCCGGGGGTTCTCTCTTGACAAAGAATCCAACTGATGCAAAGGAGTTAGTTGAGAAAATGGAGGCCAATGATAACTATTATCTAGGTGGCCGAAACAGTGTGAAAAAGGAGGTAAATTAGATGTTGATGCTTTAACTCTTTTGACTAGTTATGTGCAGGCATTGACAAGCAAGTTCGATAGGTTCCAAGCTGGAACATCCACTAGCTCACCTGAGATTTGTCAATTGTGTAATGTGCAAGGTCATATTGCACCCAATTGCACAGAAAATTCAAATGAGATGTCGATTGAGGAAGCTAATGCATTTTACACCTCTAACCCCAAAAGGCCATATGACCCCCACTCAAACACATACAATGAAGGTTGGAAGAATCACCTAAATTTTTCCTACAAGAATATCCAAGCTCAACAAAATCCACCTCCACCACCACCTCAAAACAACAACTATAATCCACCACCTGGTTTCCAACCAAGGCCACCTCCAGTCCAACAACCTATGCAACCACCTCCTCAAAAATCCAACCTTGAACTAATGATGGAGAATTTTATCACCACAACCAACACTGCCATCCAACAACAAAACAGTTCCATACAACAGCTACAAGCCCAGAGTAAGCTCATGGAAAATCAGATAAGCCAACTTTCTCATCAAGTTGGACAATCCTTAAAGACACTGGGGACTTTTTCGGGTCAGACAGAGCAACAACAGAAAGGGCATATGAATGTTGTTACTTTAAGGAGTGGAAAGCAGTTGGAAGATCCTCCTACCAAGGAGCCATCAAAGGCGATCGTTGAAGAAGAAGGTGAAGGCGAGAAGGTGATCGATAGTGCGAAGGTCGAGGAGGAATCAAAGGAAGCAACTCCACAACCTCTTGCTCCATATGTGCCTAAGGTTCCTTTTCCACAAAGTTTAACCCAAGCTAAGCTTGAGAAAAAGTATGGTAAATTTCTTGATATCTTAAAAAAGCTTCATATTAATATTCCGTTCTTAGATGCTATATCTGAGATGCCTTCTTATGCTAAATTATTAAAGGATATGCTTTCTAACAAGAAAAAGCTAGAAGAGAATGCTATAGTTGCTTTGACTGCAGAGTGTAGTGCTATTTTGCAGAATACTCTCCCTAAGAAATTAGGTGATCCAGGTAGCTATTCAATTCCAGTGAAGCTTGGAGATATTGAAATTAACAGGGCACTATGCGATCTTGGCGCAAGTGTGAGTCTCATGCCACTTTCCATCTGTAAGAAGCTGCAAATGGGTGAACTTAAACCCACACGCATATCCTTACAACTTGCAGACAGGTCAGTCAAATTTCCTTTGGGTGTACTTGAGGATGTGCCTCTTCGTGTAGGTAAGTTTTTCATTCCTTGTGATTTTGTTGTGATGGAATTGGAGGAAGATGCGAATGTCCCTATTATTCTTGGTAGACCTTTCCTAGCTACTGCAGGTGCAATCATAGACATGAAAAATGGTAAGATCACCTTTGAAGTTGGTGATGAAAAATTGGAATACTCACTTTTGAATGCTATGGGTACTCCCTCTATAGGAGAAACTGTCTATCAGGTAGATGTGCTTGATGAGTTGCAGAGTGAGCAACTTCCTTTGAGCAAACCAGATGATGCACTTGAAACAATGCTAGTAGGGAAGGATGATGATGGAAATTGGGAATCAAGGGAGTATGTCAAGCTACTTGAAGAAGCAAAGGCCAACGCAATCGCTAAACCAATCAGAGAAATACTTAGTGCAGTGAGTATTGGGGAGAGTACTACGCCTCCCGAGGTAGAGTTGAAACCTCTCCCTTCTAATCTGAAATATGCATATCTTGGTCCTAATAATTCATACCCTGTTATTGTTAATGCTGAACTCAAGGACACGGAATTGGAGCAATTGCTCAATGTTTTAAAAACGTATAAAAGTGTAATTAGGTACACCATTGATGATATTAAGGGTATTAATCCTTCTTTCTGTATGCATAAAATTATTCTTGAGAACGATCATGCTTCCTCTATAGAACCTCAAAGAAGGCTTAATCCAAATATGATGGAGGTAGTGAAAAAAGAGGTTCTAAAATTGCTTGCTGCAGGAATAATCTACCCTATCTCTGATAGTAAGTGGGTTAGCCCTGTACAAGTAGTACCCAAAAAAGGAGGTATGACCGTTGTCAAAAATGATAAGGATGAGCCATTCGCCACTAGGACTGTTACAGAGTGGCGAATGTGTATAGATTACAGAAAATTAAATAAGGCCACCCGAAAGGATCATTTCCCCCTACCCTTCATTGATCAAATGCTTGAAAGGTTGGCAAAGCATTCCTTTTTCTGTTATTTGGATGGATATTTTGGTTTCTTTCAAATTCCTATTCGTCCTTGTGATCAGGAAAAGACTACATTCACATGTCCATATGGGCACCTTTGCATATCGCAGGATGCCATTCGGATTATGCAATTCTCCAGTCACTTTTCAACGTTGTATGATGGCTCTTTTTTCCGGTCTTATAGAAAATTCTATGGAGGTATTTATGGACGATTTTTTTGTCTATGGAACATCTTTCGATGTATGCCTTGAAAATCTGAAAATGTGCTCCATAGATGTAAGGAAGTCAATTTAATTTTAAACTGGGAAAAATGCCATTTTATGGTGCAACAGGGATTTGTCTTAGGTCATGTTGTATCAATGAAGGGTATTGAGGTTGATAAGGCTAAGATAGAGGTCATAGAGCGTTTACCCCCTCCGAATTCTGTAAAAGGAGTTCGAAGTTTCCTTGGTCATGCAGGTTTTTACCGTCGTTTTATTAAGGATTTTTCGAAAATTGCTCGACCTCTAACTGAGCTTTTAGCTAAGGATGTTCCTTTTGTTTTCACCGATGCTTGTCTTGAGGCTTTCAATAGGTTGAAGGAAGCTTTGATCTTTGCTCCTGTCATGCAACCCCCAGATTGGAGCCTGCCATTTGAAATCATGTGTGTAGCTAGTGACTATGTGGTAGGAGCCGTTTTGGGGAAAAGAAGGGATAAAAAGCTTCATGCTATTTACTATGCTAGCAAAACTCTTAGCTTTGCTCAAATGAATTATGCTACAACTGAAAAAGAGATGCTAGCTGTAATTTATGCAATTGACAAGTTTAATTCTTATTTGGTTGGTTCAACAGTTATTATTCATACAGATCATGCAGCACTGAGATATTTGATGACCAAAAACCCATCCCAAACCTCGGTTGATTCGGTGGATTCTTCAATTACAAGATTATGATATAGAGATCAAGGATACGAAAGGGACAGAGAATGTTGTCGCAGACCATCTCTCTAGCCTTCTCCTCGACCCTGAGGATAGAGACGACATCCCTTTTGATGATTGCTTTGTTGCAAACTGAATCAGCCTGGTATGCTGACTTGGCTAATTTCCTTTCCACAGGTACAATGCCCCATGGCTACTCCTCTCAACAAAGGAAGAAATTCCTTTATGAGGCTAGGAGATATTTCTGGGATGACTCGTTCTTGTACAAGCAATGTGCGGACACCATGATTTGAAGATGCATTCTAGAAAACGAGGTAAATCACATTATTTCTCATTGCCATGACTTACCATGTGGTGGACATGCAGGCCCTTCGAAGACAATTTCAAAGATCCTACAATGTGGATTTTATTGACCAACAATGTTCAAGGATACATACTCCTATGTCAAGGCTTGTGACCGATGTCAAAGGACGGGCACTATTTCTAAGAAGAATGCGATGCCACTCAACAACATACTCGAGGTCGAGTTGTTTGATGTGTGGGGGATAGACTTCATGGGTCCGTTTCCTTCTTCCTATGGCAACTGTTACATCTTGCTAGCCGTTGACTATGTATCAAAGTGGGTGGAAGCTATAGCTACTCCAACCAACGATGCTCGTGTGGTAAGTAAATTTGTTAAGAAAACTATTTTCCCACGATTTGGTATCCCACGTGTGCTGATTAGTGACAGGGGCACACATTTCTTGGAGCATCGATTTGAGGCAATGCTAAAGAAGTATGGAGTACAATACTGACTTGGAATTGGCTATCACCCTCAAACAAGTGGCCAAGTTGAGGTATCCAATCGAGAGATCAAGTCCATCATTGAGAAAACAGTTGCAAGGACAAGGAAGAATTGGTCCGCAAAGATAGATGATGCACTATAAGCGTACCGAATGGCCTTCAAAACGCCAATTGGTACAACCCCATATAGACTTGTCTACGGGAAAGCATGCCACCTGCCCGTTGAGCTAGAACATCGAGCATTTTGGGCCATTAAAAGCTTGAATTTCGATGCTAAGGTAGCGGGAGAAAAGAGGTTGTTACAACTGAATGAACTTGATGAGCTCCGTCTCGAAGCTTATGAAAGTTCAAAACAATACAAGGAGAAAACAAAGAGGTGGAATGACAAGAACCTTGTGAGGAGAGAGTTTAAAGAAGGAGATCAAGTCCTTCTATTCAATTCTAGATTGAGATTGTTTCCAGGTAAGCTTCGATCTAGATGGTCAGGTCCATTCAAGATCAAGAAGGTGTCTCCCTACGGCACTATTGAGCTAGAAAACGCAAAAGGGGAAACCTTTAAGGTTAATGGGCAAAGAGTGAAGCATTATCGAGTTGGTTACCCTATCCATGAAGGGTTGGACATCACACTCTCTTCCCAATCACCAAGCCAATGAGTATCATTACGGTCAAGCTAAAGACCTTATAAACAAGCGCTTTCGAGAGGCAACCCGCTTTTCGTATAATTTTTCTTATTATCTTTATTTCCCTTTTGTCTTTTTACGACGTGTTTGTGTTGGTTTTGTTGTTTTCCAGAGAACATTGATACATGAGAGAAGCGAGATACCGAGAGAATTTGCCAAGAGCAGAAAATGAGGCAATTTACTCGCTGCCCGGTCAGACCGGGCAATGAATGCCCGATCGGGCGCGAGTAACATTTCGAAGAGGAAGTCTGATCAAGGAGGAAGAATCAAGCAAACATTGTAGCCCCTCTTCGCCCGATCAGACCGGGCAGCAGGTGCCCGATCAGGCACGAGAGCTTGCTGAAAGAGTTAGCTGCGTACTTTGGCAAAGCAAGGTAACCCCTCTCCGCCCGATCCGACCGGGCAGTGCAAGCCCGATCGGGCGCGAGGGGTACTGATCCAAGCTACTATTCATAAAAAAAAAGAAAGAGAGAATAAGGTTGCCCGATAAGACCGGGCAGGTCCAACCCGATCGGGCGCGACAACTAGCAACACTTCAGCAAACAACAACGCAATAAACACAGTAGCCTACCTCCGCTCGATCAGACCGGGCAAGCCCCGCCTGATTGGGCGCGAGGGTAAAATGCGCAATTCAGCTCACTAAAACCCGAAATTCCCTTTCTTCTTCCTCATACTTTTATTCATCTTCTACACTTTCTCTCTCTAAAATCCCCAATTCCTTAAACCCTAACCTCCTTCAATCTCTACAATTCTCCACAAATTCTCCATCAAAACTTTAAATTTCTTCACCCTCCATCCTCCTTATTTAATTTCTAACATCCACAACCATCTTTCTTACCCCCAACTCCATTCTCACCAAAAACCCTATTTCCAAGGTTAGAGAGAGAAAGCCCCAACAACATCAATGGCTACAAGAAAGAGAAGTAGGGGAGCACAACAACAACAACAATTGGACTTGGAAAGCATCCCCACATATCCAAACATCCGGTTCATGCCCGAGTTTCCAAACCAAAAAGCACGGTTGCTAGAGCTCCAACATAGGAAGGTAATTCCTACTCGGTTCATAGACCGATCCTTTCTTGCTAAGCTAGGCATTGATATTGAATGTAGGAACTTATTTTCTAGACTTGGTATGACTCAATTGTTTAAAATGATACATTATACGTTTGAGGATATCACTCTTGAATTTTTAAGTTCTTTTGATGTTGTGAAAGGTAGATATGGTTTAGTTACCCATGTTGTATATAGACTCATGAACAAGTCTCACCGCCTCACCTTATAAGGCTTTGGTAGAAAGTTTGGCCTCCCCTCCACGGGATTGACCGTGCAACCCGATAGTTTTACCTCGGGGGAGTGTTGGTTAACAATGACGGGTGAAAATATAGATTCAATGCAACATGCCCGTGCACACAAAATTCACCAACCGACCCTTAGGTTATGGACTAGATCCTCGGGGTGGACAATTTTTGGTAGGATTGAGCCAAACAATGTTAGGGCGGACGAAATAGCCATTCTAGGTAGCTACCTTAGATTGGGAGATGATGAGGAGGGGTTTAGAATGAACATAGCTCATCTATTTTCCCTCCACCTTAGGAAACAAGGGGCTACCTTTACCACCCTCAAACCATAGAAGGACTGCTATGAGTTGCATCCTACAAAGAACTAAGACAAAGCTGAGCATTTATTCCACGCGCCCGATCGGGCAGCCATTGCCCGGTTGGACCGGGTGCGTGGTGGTTGAAGGTTCTACGAAGCTACGAAGATCAAGAGCAAGGCAGCCAACAAGTGTACCTCGCGCCCAATCGGGCAGCCCTTTCCCGGTTGGATCGGGCGACGAGGAGAAAGCTACGAAGAAGATGCAGCGCAATGAGGTACCACCTGCCCGATCGGGCGGTGCTCGCTCGGTCAGACCGGGCAGTGTGTTGCGGAAATCCATTTTCTTATTTTCAAAATTTTATGTCATTAAGGGTATAAATACCCCTTGTAATCATCACTAGAAAACACTTAATTAATTCCTTAAGTTTTATTTTCTCTCTCTAAAACCCTAGTTTATTTCTTTTAAGCAATTTAATTCCTTCATTAGATTTGATTATTGTTGATCAACATTTTGAGTTATTTCAATTGAAGCATCATTGGTATTCATCTCTATTCCTTTCTCTTTCGATCATTATTGTTTTAAATTATGTTTTCTCTGATTATTTTTATTATTGCTTATTTCAATATGTGTGAGTAGTTTTTATATTCCAAGATCTAAGGTAGCACAATTATGATTGATGCATGAATTGATTCTTTAAATTCTCTATTAACTATTGCAATTATTTATGTTAAGTTGATTTTGATTATGCCAATACTAGATTAGAGATAATTAGTATTGTTATTATTCCATAGTTCTAATCACAACGAGAGTTGGGTTTCAACGGATTTGAGTAGATCAATTTAGGGTTTGAATTTCATAACGAGAGTAGTTGAATTGATAATTGGGAAGTGAAGTAAAGTGTTTAATGTCTCTAATTTTCATGATTCCATGAGAATAGGTTTGATTGTGGTTAGAGAACCATTGATACTCGAGAGAGGTCCTTGGTATTGATTAGGGTTTACTTTTCCCCATGTTAATTGGATTTGTATGCTAGGGGTAAATAGATAATTCCATCGATCGTAATTGTGGTGATACTTGATCTTAGATGTTTAGTATATTGATTCATTATATTCTTTTGATTAATTCTAGTTTTTCGTACATTAGTTCTTAGCTTATTCCACCATTCATTTGATTCTTGCTTAGTGATTATTTGAGTCTAGATAATTTAGGTGAACCTTAGTCTCTTGGGATTCGATCCTTACTTGCTCGTCTACATAGTAGTGGTCGAGTTAGGTTATTTTTGTTAGGTACGCGACACGCTTATCACTAGGCTAGTTCATCGCAAGCCTAGGCGCACCATGTGTGTGCTAGGCGCGCCATGCGTGCTAGGCGCACAAGGCATCACAATCGCTAGCACTAGATGCTTGTGTGAGTGCGTGCCTCGTATGGCAGCACCATCGCAGCAGCGTGCTTGCGTGTGTGCGTGCCATCGCATGGCACAGCATCACGCAGCATGCGTGCTTGCGTTCCTAGGTGCTATCGCAAGCCCTCGCACAGCCTACGCATAGCACAACACTATCGCATGGCTAGGCTTGTGCGTGTGTGCGTGTGCATGCATGCCATCGCAGCGAGCAACATGCTAGCTGCCTCGTTCAGCAGCACCATGCCTTCGCATAGCTGCGTGCCTTTGCATGGCAACACCAAACACATCGAGCTAGGAGCAGCGCCAGATAGCAAGCGGTCATCAACGAGGGCCTCGCCCAGCGCCCGGCACCCAACATCATGCTTGGCTCGCTAGCAGCATGCATGTGCTAGGCGTGCTGGCTGGTGCGCATTGCGTGCTGGGTAGTGATGCAGTGCATGCTGGCGTGCTAGCTGGCTGCCAGCCCAGCAGTCCTTGAAGCCGATTTAGGAGAGGTGGGGACCAATGCTTGGAGCAAAGCCTTAGGGAGCAAGGCTATGGTCCCCCCCATTGGTTTTGGTCCTCACCTAACCAATTCTCTCCTCTTGACACTTGTTGCCTTGTGATTTCATTTGTTAAATAATTTATTTTAGAATTAAATAAAATAATGCATTTGCACATGATCCCACATTGATCATGAAATGGGATTCAAGTTCCTATTCTCTATAAATACCCACTTAGTTGGGATTTTGAGAATTCCCACTTGAGTGGAACTATATAGGCATCTCCATTGTTGAGAATACCTTAAGTTCATAAAACTCCAAAGTTTATATTTTGTTCGGGTCCCGACTAACCTTCGGGACTTAGGACGATCGGGTCGGGTTCGAGGGTACGAGCCGTTGGAGACCTTGCATTTGCGAGGTTGAAGTAAGAGCTCTTTTAGCGAGCGAAGCACGCGTCTAGGGTATAATTCTTTATCCCTATTTCTCTTAATTATGTATTAATTATGTTTTGCATGCTTTAGTTGATTTAGTAATCGGGGCGGGTCTTGATGGGTTTCTTTCCGCGTAGAGTGGGGCTCTACGAAACCCTACAATAACTTGTTTCAAGAGCTTTCTAATGACTAGTCATATGTCCAATCGGATTAGAATTAAGAAAATTATGACCATTTTATGAAAAATTGTCAAAGTTGGAAATATTACGATGAGTGCTCAACCAGGAACGCCTGTGCCTCTAAGCAACACGCCTGCACCTAGTAGAGTGAAGGCGTTTTTGTTTCCTAATTTTGGATATACTTCTGACAGTTACTAGTGTTATTCTTTTTGAATAATTTAGGAAGATTTCCTTATATTCTATAACGAACCATTGGGTGAATAGTTAGAAACGTTTATACTGCCTTTTAGCCTAGCTAGCCAATTCAAGCCAAAATGTAACTTCACTTAGCTTGAGAGATTTGGTGAGGGGAGAGTGTAGTATATTGTCATTGAATCTCTAATATCCTCCATGAAAGCTAATAAAGAAATACTATCTCTTGACCTAGGAGTGTCTGTTTGGTTTTCAGTTTGGACTTAGGCCAAATCTTTGATCCAAAATATATTTCAGTTTTAAAATTTGCACTCTAATGCGATCCAAATTTCTCTTCTAATCCAATCCGAATAATAATAATTATTTTGGATCCGATCAAAAAATTCGAAGCAAAGTACGTTTATTCATATAAACTTAGTTTTACAATTTGATTTTTTGGTTTATTTGGATCCAATTAGGATTAATCCTTTCCAATTCGAAAATATGAATTTTAAAAAATCTCAATACAATAGATCAGATTATAAAGTTTGGATTCGATCTAAATTGATACTTCGATTTATATTGGATTGTATATGTATTTTAATTTGAATTATGGGCACTCCTACCTTACCATGTGAATGTATGTCATGTTGACTGAACCGTGTATATTTAAATTATTTCTCTAATTTATGTTTTATATATTGTTTGTCT